GAAATTTATTAGATAATTATTAATTAAAAAATGTGACCACAAATTAAAAAATTAAAATGGATAAATCTGTAAATAAAATTAAAAAATTTTAATCCGTTAACGGTTTAGTACAAAAAGCTATATAAATTAACTTTTTCAATCCGCTAACGGTTTGAACTCTAACCGCTATCCGCTAGTTTCAAACTGCTAAATAAAAATTTTACCAAACACTTTATTTATAGCAATTTCGAAATATGTAAATTTACCAAACACTTATATTTAGCGGTTTAGGTAAAATCGCTAACCGCTACCCCAAAACCACTGTACCAAACGGGGCCTAAATATTCTTCCTTTCAAGGTACACACAGTATTTAGGATTCAGTGTGTTCACTGAAACTAGAGCATTACTCTGTCACATAAATATGTGAAATCATTGATCCTTGTCAATTGATTTCTATTCAGGTTGCTGCATTCGATAAGAATAAGGGTCACTGACATTATTTCATTCAACAAAGGATTCAAAACTTCTTCATATTGGGCACCAAGGTGCCTTCTCCACATACTCCTGAGATTCATGTTGCTTCAATGGTTGGAAAGTGCTTATCGAATGTTACAATAATAACTTATTAATCTTTGCGGCATGTTGCATATTGACTTTTCATAATGCTTTTGATTACATTCAAGCAAAAATTAAACATGTTGAGCTATTCATGGCAAAAGAATCAAGTTATTTTATTATATGTTTCTTATATTCAAATAGAATTAATGGAGAAAACTGCGAATCCAATTACAGAATATCTATGTAGAAATTTAAAGAATAAATAATTATAGCCTATACGAACGTAAAGGAGAAATCTGAGACAAATCATACGATATGCAAGCAAATATTTATTGAATGAATGAATTTGTGAAGCATTATGCACGCTTCTTCCATTTGAGATAGCTGAAAATAGGTCTCTCTGGCACCGGTATGCACTTGACGACCCAGCCAATGGGCCAAGAGACAGCAGCCATGGCAATGCAGCCGCCCCATTGTCCCCAATTCAACCTCTCTGTACCTGCAAACCGCTTTAGAAACTCCACCATCAGCACTTGAAGAACAATGGACATCCCGACTATCCCTAAAAACGGCTTGTTCTTATGAATACCCTTGAAAACATTCTTCTTCTCCAGCTTCCTTGCGTTGAATTCATTGAAAACTTGGCAAAGCACAAAAGTGTTGAAGATCAAGGTGTCATTCACTGCTTCAGTCACATTGAAGATTGACTCTCCTCTGAATTGCAGGATCAGGAGTATTGCAAC